AAGGGGTAGTCCCTGAGCGCTGTCTCTATACGGTCCAAGCTCGGAAAATGTGACATGGGTGGCAGTTTCTTGACACCGTATGGAGTGCGCAGAGGGGTGATCTCTGAGCCCGGTCTCTATACGATCCAGGCTCGGAAAATGTGGCAAGGGTGGCAGCTTCTGGACAGCAAAAGGGGGTGCGGGGGGGGGGTTCTGAGCTCGGTCTCTATACGGTCCAGGATCGGAAAGCGTGGCAGGCGTGTCATTTTCTCGACACCGGAGGGGGTGCGCAGAGGGGTGGTCTCTGAGCGCGGTCTCTGTGGGTTCCAGGCTCGGAAAGTGTGGCAAGGGTGGATGTGTTTTACACCGTAGGGAGTGCGCACGGGGTGGTCTCTGAGCGCGACCTGTATACGGTCCAGGCTCGGAAAGTGTGGCAAAGGCGGCAGATTCTTGAGACCAGCGGGGGTGCGCAAGGGGGTCGTCTCTGAGCTCGGTCTCTATACCGTCCAGGCTCGGAAAGTGTGGCAGAGGTGGCAGTTGCTCGACACCAGAGGAATGCGCAGGGGGTAGTCTCTGAGCGCTGTCTCTATACGGTCCAGGCTCGGGGGTGTTAGTTCCTCGACACCAGAAGGGGTGCGCAGGGGGTGGTCCCTGAGCGCGGTCTCTATGCGGTCCAAACTCGGAAAGTGTGGCAAGGGTGGCAGTTTCTCGACGCGGTCCCTGAGCCAGGTCTCTATACGGTCCAGGCTCGGAAAGCGTGGCAAGGGTGGCAATTTCTCGACTCCCTCAAGGTACTCAAGCCCCCAAGGCTTGGCCAGCGTCACAAACGGTATCGGCGGGGCAACGGCCACCAGCATCATTCTCGCATGTTTCATGCCAGCTGTCATCACTCCAGACATCATATAAGTATGTGGGGTTCCTCGGTAGCGTAATTTGGTTGATTGCGCCCTGGGGGCACCAGTGCTCGCCGCATTATCCTTCTCTTCATTCTTCTCCGTTCTTTCTCATCCCCGCTCCACCTCTTCCTTCTCCAAACAGCTTTCCTTTTCCTCCTCCTCCTCCTCCTCCTCCTCCCCCTCCTCGCCCATCCTTCTCATCCGTCTCCTGGTCCGTGCCCTCCTCTCTGCAGCAACATAAAACCCCTAATGCACAGCGGTTGCCACCCTCGGTGCAAGGAAATGCTGCGTGTGTTTGAAATGGTCGGCTGCTTTGGCTTGGTTTGGGCAACAAGGGCACACTGCGTCGCGTTGAATGCGCTGTGCTCTGGGCTTGAGGGGGCTCGGAGCGGGAACGGGGAAAGAGGAGGAGAAGGAGGAGGGAGCAGCGGGCCCCCCCAAACCAAATAAACCAAACCAATACAGGCAACGGTGGGAACCACAAAACTGCACGGTGCTGCCTTGTCTCCCAAACCAACGGAGCCGAACAATAAAAACGTACACAACGTGTCCTTGAACCGGCGGCGCTTAACGATGTGCAGTATTGGTTGTGAACTGTCGCAGAGAAGAGGAAACGGTAAGGAGAAGGAGAAGGAGGCTGATGGGCGAGGAGGAGAAGGCTATGGAACTGTGTTTAGAGACGGAAGGGAAGGAAAGGAGGAAGAGAAGGAACGGAGCAGGAGGAGGAGGAGGGCAGCATTGGCCCCCATAGAACCAATCCTCCCCAGGAAAAAAAAACATGTGCAGCGCTTCTTTGTTTCCCAAACCAAGCCAACAATGCACAGCGCGTCCTTGCACCGAGGGCGCCACACGCTGTTCATTGTTGTTTCTGTGTTGCTACAGGGAGGAAGGATCGGGAAGGAGAAGGAGGATGAGGAGGAGGTGGACGATGGGCGAGGGGGAGGCGGTGGAGCAATGGTGTTTGGAGGAGAAGGAAAGGAGAACGAGAAGGAACGGAGAAGGAGGAGAAAGAGAGCACTGCCCCCCCCCCCCAAAAAAAAAACGGATAAGCAGGATCACCAAACCTACAACGTGATTCCCTGTCTCCCAAACCGAAGCAGACCAAACAACAACAACAACAACAACAACAACAACAACAACAACAACAACAACAACAACAACAACAGCACCAGCACCAGCACCAACAACAACAGCAGCAGCAACAACAGCAGCAACAACAACAACAACAGCAACAACAGCAGCAGCAACAACAACAACCACACCACCACTACCACCACCAACAACAACAACAACACCAGCAGCAGCAGCAACATCAATAACAACAACAACGACAACGACAACGACAACAACAACAACAACAACAACAACAACAACAACACATACACAGCGTGCCATTTCACCGAGGGCGCCAAACGCTGTGGATGATTGGCGTTGTGTTGATTCGAAGAAGAGGAATCGGACAGGAAACCGAGTAGGAGGAGGAGGAGCAGGAGGTGGAGGAGGAAGGGAATGTGAGAAGAGGAAGAGGAAATGGATAAGCAGGACGGGGAAAGGAGAAAGAGGAGGAACGGAGAAGGAGGAGGCGGATGAGGTGAAGAAAACGGTCAGTAAAGACGTTGTACGTTTGGTGACGTGGAGATGCTGGGGGGACTTTATATATATACATACGCACATACACACCATCATGTATTTCCAAACATTTATTCATACACATACAAACGCGTGTACACATGTGCATACACATATACATATACACATACGGATGCATGCACACATACACAGACCTGTACATATGCATATACATATACATATACACGTTCATATGCACATACACATACACATACACATACACATACACATACACATATGCATATAACTATACATGTACCTAACCAATCTTCCATACATACATATACATACATGTCCGTGTACACATACACAAACATATACATATCTGCGTGCATATCCATGCATGCATACATGCATACATGCACACGTGCATACATGCATACAGACAGACATGCATACATACATACATGTATACATGCATATACACATGTACATACATGTGTATGTAGGTATGTATGTATGTACGTGTGTATGCATGTATATATACACACATATACATATCCGCCACCGTGCCTCTGGACCGAATTGGAGTGCCCCGAGGCTCATATAGCATTGAGAAGTGGAAGCTATGCTTCTGCTGCAACCGGAATGGTAAGTCTTGAAGGCCCAGACCAACCGTTTACAGGACTGTCGTGGGCCGTCCTGGGCCGTATTGGGGTTTCCCGGGCTAGCTTCCGTGAGTTCTGGGGTGCTTCCTGCGGGTCCTCTGGACGCTGTGACCGCCACAAACGGTCGAATAGAGAGCGTCGACTCGCCGAAGCATCGCTCAAAAGACGCAGTCAATGGCCTCGGGATGGCCCACGACGCCTCCAAGATGACCCAAAGAGGCCTCCAAGAGGCCTCCAAAGAGGGCCCCCAGGAGGCCTCCAAAGAGGGCCCCCACGACGCCTCAAAGATGACCCAAAGAGGGCCCCCAGGAGGCCACAATCATCGATTTCCCTCAGTGTTTGAAGGATTCTGGCGTTCTCGCCTTTTCGACTTCCCGACGCTCCCAGACGGCCCTAGAGGCCCCCACGACCGACGGCCCAATACGCCTCCAGGGGGGCCCCACAACGGCCCAAGAGGGCCCGAGTCAGCCCAAGAGGCGCCCAAAACGGCACAGAGAGCACCAAGACGGTCCCAACAGGGGCTCAATAGGGAGAACAACATCCAAGCCTTCCGCCCCAAGAGTCTTCCAGGAGGCCCACAGAAGCACCCAGGAGGCCCCAAGCGGCCGCCAAGAGGCCCCCGGAGGCCCCCGGGAGGATCGAAAGAGGCCCCAAAGGCCCACAAACGGCCCCCAAGAGACGTCCAAACTGCCTACAAGGAGGCCCCCAAGAAGCTTCCCACGAGATCCCAACGAACATCCAACAGTTTCCATGCCCACAACCCCGGCACGGTGGCGGGTTGGGCCGAAAGCCGTCAGATACGTGTGTATACATACATATATATATATATATACACACAGGTGCCCACCTATATAATAATATCGCAATGTGCTGATGCATGTAAGCGTGTCTGTCGATATCCCTATCAATCAATCTAGTGGTATCAATGTCTATGCAACCATTGCACGATCTCTGCCTCACTATGTCCTCCTACTCCTCTTCCTCCCTCACGTGTCACACGAAGGGGTTCCACGACGGCAGGGCAAACGCCGGTACAATAGCGTGGCCACGCTTTGCCCAAGCGCTTTGCCACATAGGCGTATCCTAAGGCAGGGGCGGCGGTGATTCGCCGTAGGCGTCTGCGATACATCTGTACGCAAAGACACATAACGACGTATGAAGCAGCATCTGGTATAGCGTATAGCTATAGGTATGCCAATCTTCATATCTAGCGGACCCACTGAGAACAAAAACATACGGACAATCACAGAGCACCCATGGGACAACCACGGAACAAAAACACAGGGCTCCTACAGGACCAACCACAGGAGAACCACGCGACAACCACGTGACAACCACGTGACAACCACGCGACAACCACGGGAGATCGACTGCACAGCCGCGGGACAAACGCAAGAAAACCACAGTACAACCGCGGGACAGACACCGGGATAACCGCCAGAACAACCGCGTGGATGACCACCCAGTCAACCATCGAGGCCACCATCGGAACAACCGCCAAACAACTCCGCAACAACCTGGGACAATCCACGGGACAACCCCGGGATGACCTGATCCCCCCACGGCGCGCACGCAGGGGTTGACACAATCAGAAGTGAACCACCCCTGGGTAGGGCGGGATCTCTCCCGCATCGCGCAATCTCGCCTCCTCATATTTGCGCGCGTCACGCACGCAACGAAACCACATAGAATCCCCAGCGGAAACCGTTCCGTTACACTGTTGACCTGTCCCGCCAGTATCAATAGCAGACAAAACATTGCGAACCGCATAAATATGGCTAGCAGCGAACCGTGTGCGTCGCAAGCAGATCACTTTGTGCTCCATTCTGCGAAACCGAACGGCCGTGAACGGCGACCAAGAAGGCGCGAATACAGCGGGGGCGCAATCCTCGCTGGTCCAAGTGGCAATGGCGCCCGTGAGCTCCTGGCATGGAGCGCCCGCAATGCGTGAAGGAACGGGGGCGAAGGGCAGCAGGCACGCAAACTGCAAGATGGGCAGCGCAGGGCAGGACAAAGAAGACAAAAAAGAAGCAAGGAGGAGGGGGCGGGATGAGCAGCGTGAGGGAAGGCGGAAGGGCGCGGGGGCGCCAGGAAGCAGCAGGGTGAGCGAGCGAGCGAGTGAGTGAGCGGGTGAGTGTATGAGGATCAGGTAAGAAGCGAAGGGGTGAGTGAGTGAGTGAGTGAGTGAGTGGCTTCCTACCTGATCCTCATCCACTCAGTGGATGAGGATCAGGTGGGAAGCGAAGGGGGAAGGGCGGGGAATGGAGGGGACCGGATGCGCCCATCTACGCAAACGGCGCTCGGAACAGACGCCCGAATCCCATGACCCGCACCTGCTAGCAACATGACGGTATCCCCGCGGACGGCGGAGGCACGGGGATTCGAGCCGCTGTGAGTTTTCTATTCATGCCCCAAGCGGTAGTGTGGACGCAGAGAAGGGATTGGCGTCTGGCGCCGCGGCACCCTGAGCTGAGGAATCTGGGGGAGGGGGCGGGGGTGGAGGGAACGTGGGAGGATGACGCGAAGGGAGAGGTGTGCTCGCTCGATCGGATGCTCGGGTTGCAACTCCGGAGCGGGCCCAAACGCTACGGGGCAGGCCACTCACGCGTACCACTGCGCAAAGGCATCTGCGAGGCTAAACCATAGGTCGCACAGAAGCGCCTCCTTCAATCCTCCCAATTCGTGCTTCTGCCGCAAGAGAACATGGCCAGCCGGCCCCAGCCGTTCATCCTGTTCTTCCTCGTGTCTCGGGCCCAATCGGAATCCCTCCAGAATGTCGCCCTCCAAGCCCACGAAAATGCGGCCAGCTCCAAGCGTGCCCCGTCCACGACCACCTCTGGGCGTGCGCCGCTGGCCAACCTCGCGCTCCCGCTGTCCTCGAGTTGTCCTGCGTCATGTCGTCGTCCGCCACATCCCCTTGCGCCCTACTCCTCCAGCGGCGCTGGAGGAGTAGTGGCACACAGGACAGCAGCAGGCTGTAGCAACAGGAAGCAACAGGACAGACAGCCAGGTTTTAGTATCCAGCGCTCGCTTAAACCAGACAGGATCAGGCAAACCAGGCAGGAACAGGACAGTAGCAGGTTTTAGTATCCAGCGCACGCTTAAAGACATAGATCCTGCGCAACATCCTGTTGTACACGGCCTTCAGGAAAAACGATCTCAGCCGCGAGCGGCGTCAAAGAACTCGAGCCGCACTGGGCGCAGGCGACGACCGTTGTGTCAAGGAGCCTCGGCCTGCAGGACAAAGAGACGCCTCTGTTTAGCAACACTTTCTGAATCGTCCAACAACTTCCCTCAGCCAGTCGCTACTCTGTGCTCAATCTCTGCCTGCGTCAAGTCGCTCGAATCAAGTATCGTGAGCAGCGCCTCCAGGGACTCGCCCTCCTCCATCCCCTTGACGCTCTCCACTTCGACATCCCCCTTCCTTGCCCCTCCTGGCTGGTTTGTTTGCGCCTTTTCCACTTCGTTGGGTGTAGCTTGAGACCTCTCTTATGAAGAGCAACCTTTAGTGTCTGGATCACGCGCTTCAGCGAAAACCACGTCTGCGAGATCGGAGTCACGTCGTCTGCAAACGTCGCGTCCGTAAGGCGACGCCCGCCCAACGCCTGGCCAACTGACAAATCTAGTACCACGGCCGCACCTTTGCCAAGCGGGGCTCGGGACATCCAACATCTGAAACATTACCGTTAGGTCGGGCCTGTCCCCCTACAGGGGGATTCGGACGAAAAATCAAAAAATACGCAGAAAAAGATCAAACATGCTCCGATGGTCAAAAAATCGTCCCCGTACTATTTTTCTGACTATTTTTGAACATTCCCCCTGTAGAGGGACAGGCCCGACTTAACATGACCAGGATGAGCAGGATTGCCCTGCCAGACGCCGAGCTGCACCTTGAGACGCCCGATCTCCGAGCGTGGGGCCATCTGAACGTCGGCTGACCTGTACTGACAAACGTTGCGGAGTACCCTGACGACGCCCGGGCCAGCATCTGCTGCCATCAGAAGCCTGAACAGCTGCGCGTGCTGGACCGTGCCGACTGCTTTGTCGACGTCCACCAGCGTGGCCATCCACAGCTCCTCCCCCCACTCCTCTGACTTCTCCTCAACCACGCGCAGCACTTGCAAAACGTCACCGCACCGTCCCCGAAACAACACTGGTCTTCACGGAGCCGTTTTTTTTAACCTGATCGCGGGTACGCCGAAATATCACAATACCATAATGCTCGGCCCTAAAAGTCTATCGAAACAGACCGTTGGTGTTTCAAATCGCTCCGAAAGCTGTTCTAAGAATAATGCAACTTTCTACTCGCTCGACGGTTCCAAGGTGCCAGCCAGCACGTCGCGAAATAAAGAGCTAAAACGTCCATGGGCTCATCGTGCCCTTTCCACACAATCTCCATTACGAGCCCTTCGTCTGCTCCAGTCCTGCCAGACCTCATAGTGCTCAGAGCTGCCGCGACTCCTGTCGCCGTCGTCCCCATCCTCCCGGCGCAGATTCTCGTAGAACTGCGCGAAAGACGCTGCCATGCCAAATATTCCTGTTGGGATCCCTGCCCTGCATTGCTCGTCTCGCCGCCCAGAATGCACGCTAAAATCGTTTCGATGGTTGTTTTCTTGCTTCCGCATCGTTCCCAGCACCTTGCAGCGAGAAGCGTTTTGACTGCGATGCAGAAGTTCCGCCTACTTGTCCTACTCGCATTCACGCCGTCGCGAGCAACCTCCACGACAAGCCAGTTCACTTCCTTAATGCTGCGGTGTCCTTCTGAGAGGCGGTCTGTGAGCAGGGCATGACACTCCGATGGCAAATACTCCTCGTCCGATTTCGGTGTCCATCCTCTGGGGACTCGGACTCGCTTCGCTCGATGAATTGCCTTTGGCATCGCCAAGAACGTGGCGAACACCGCACGGTAGTCGGATTTCCCGTCAAAGCCACTCTACGCCGACGCGGATGTGACCGCACTTGCCTTCGACGATTCCACGAGGGCGTGTGTGGGGAAGGGGGGGAGGCAAGGAAGACAAAGGAGGAGGGAGTTTGGCGAGCAGGGAGGAGGGGTGGGCGAGATAGGAGCGGTACTGGTCGCGGGGAGAGGAGGGAGAGAGGGAGAAGAGAGGGGGAGACCTGTGGGAGCAGTGGTAGGAAGGAGTCCAGAGTAAAAAAGGTTGATTAAGAATCGGCATGTCAGAAGTTGAGAAGAAGCTAGAGAAAGAGAGAAGGGGGATATGAAACTAGCGGAGCCTCCAAGCCCAGCAAGAAAGGCGCATGTGGGGGCAAGCGTCGCCACTGGCGACGAGGTCTGCTCCTCGATGGCAGTGCTGGACACCTCGATGGCACGCTCCAGCTCTTTCTTCTGGTCCTTCGCAGCAACGGGGTCTCGGCACTGAACTGCTGCCCCGCTCTTGACGACGACCAAGAGAACAGTGTCAAGCCTCTTCAGGATCATCTCGACAAGCATCAGGGGCAGAGCAACACAGCCGGACAAGGAAGCAACGGTGACAGGTCAAGGGAGCGGTCCTCAGTCTTGTCGAGCTCGGCCTCGCAGTACTCCCTTTTCGCATCGTCGTCTGCCTTGGGAGGCGTGTGCGCGCACTCGTTTGAACCTCCGTTGTGCCCAGCTTTCGTCAATGAACCCGGCAAGGGCCCAACCAGGGCTGGTCAGTGCGCTGCAAGCCAACTGCAGCAACCTGGACAGCATACAAACGACAGGCCAGAAACTACACCATCATTCCTGACTTGCGTTGCAATCATTGGCGTGGTGAACCTTCATTCGCGCCCAATATATTTGGATTGACTTGACTTGCCAGGATTTGGCATGCATTTGTTTGATGCGCGGTGCGTTGCCTTGCCAATTTTTGGTTGAATCATCATTTGTTGATGTGCTTTGACGTGCAGCGCCGTGCCATGCACTGGATTGCATTGAAACTGGATGGATTTGCATTGTATTGCATACTGCGGCTGCACTGCAATATCGATCAATGACAGTGTGCCCATGCCACATGGGTGTTGTGGGCTGGTGCAGATAGGCGAGGCGCTCTTGGGCAGGGAACTGCCATCTGCCACGGTAGAGCACCACTTGGAGCGCTCCGGATGGAAGGATGTGAAAAGTATGTGCACATCTAGGCCTCTCTGCCGCTGGGGAAACAGCGATTGGTTGCTTGTGAACGGCGCCTCGCCCGAGAGGCAACGCACATAAGGAACTAGCAAGGAGGGAACACTCGCAGTTCCAAAACCCCCTGCGAAAATCGGCATTCCATGTTCCGTGCCTTCTCTCCGCTTCGCGCACTCTCTCTATTCCTCTCTCCCCATCTCTCTCCTTCTTCCTCTCTCCCTCTCTCTCTCTCTCTTTCTTGCTCTCTCGCTCTCCGTCCCCCTCTCCGTCGCTACCTCTCGGGCTGGGCGAATGAGGCGACCCCACGAGTTCGCCAGGAGTTCGTCTCGGATTCGGTTCTTCGGCGAAGCCCTCTGGCATGAGCCCAATCGCAGTGCAGTACTGCTTGGCGGTTCGGGGGAGGGGGGGGGAGGGAGGGAGGGATGGCAAAAACAACAAATCCTCTCCCCCCAAAGACGACCACGACGACTACGACGACGGCGGCGAGGAGAAAACTAACTGCAAAGCCAGACACGTTCACATGCTTTCCCATACAACCCTTGAATCCTTCCTACACGGATCCTCACCGAGGGGGCCCTTACCAAAGGCACCATCACTAAGGAGGCCTGACGTAGGGATCCCTGACGAATGACATCTTTGCCAAGGACCCACTGCTGAAGTAAACATGGGCAATGACACCTCACTACATGGACCCTACCGAGGGGATTCGTACTACCGGCATTCTCACGATTGCCTCCTCACTGAAGGGATCCTTAATAAGGAGTCCTTGATGAAGGCCCCCTACCTAACGCACAAGTGCTCAAGGCATCCTCATAAAGATCCCTCACTGAACATGATCGCTTCCCCCGATTAGGCTTGCCGAAGGGTTTCTTACTTGGTTGAAGATTGGTGTCTTGGGGTGATAGTTTGCCCCTTCCCCTGAGATTCCCAACGTTCCTCGGGTTCCTCGGGTCCCCCGGGTTTCTCGGGTTCCTCAGGTTTCCTGGATTCCTCGGGTCCTCGAGTTCCTCTGGTTCCTCTGGTTCCTCGGGCTCCTCTGGAGCTTCGGGTTCCTCGGGTTCGCTCCTCGGGTTCCTCGGGTTCCCCTGATGCCAAGCAGTGCGAAGCAATGCCAAGCAATGCCAAGCAATGCGACGCAATGCGAAGCAATGCCAAGCAATGCGATGCAATGTCAATGCCAAGCAATGCCAAGCAACGCCAAGCAATGACAAGCAATTACAAGCAATGCCAAGCAATGCGAAGTAATGCGAAGCAATGCCAAGCAATGCTATTCAATGCCGAGAAATGCCATACATTGCCAAGCAATGCCAAGCACTACCAAGCAATGCCAAGCAATGCCAAACACTACGCCCATTCAATGAGAATGCTCCCTGGATTGGGGGCGCGCTGGGTTAAGTGTAAGGAAGGAACGGAAACATCATTCCGAATGACTGGCGACCAAAGAGAGCTGGACTAAGCATCTCTCATGATGCCCACCAAAGAGCTCTTACTGTTCGACCCATGCCACGCCCTAGGCCCTGCCCTCCAGCAGGGACCGCACCCGTTCCAATAGGCCCAGCCCAGCCCGGTGGTGTTGGTGGTGGTGGCCATGGGGGAGGGGGGGGGGGGGCGACACACTTGCCCCGTAGGGTGGCAATAGTCCGTGCCTTCTGTTTGTCGCCCCCCCCCCACCACCCCACACTCTCAATATTCTGATGAAGGAACCCTGACCAACGGAAAGTTGACCCAGGACCCCTCACAGAATGCAAGCATCCATAGCAAGGAACCCTTAGAAGCATCCTTGCCCACGAACATGCATCCTCCTTGCGGGGCTATTACCAAATGAAGTCGTAATAGAGGGTCGTTAATGCAAGGGCCCTTACCGAGAGGACACGTACTCAATTAATCCTTTCTAAGGAAGCCTAGCTAAACGCAGTCTTACGAAGGTCTCCTTCCTGAAGGCATCAGTATCAAAAGGCCCTTGCTGAAGGAAACGCAAACAATGAATCCTTACTAGAGGAATCCTTACCGCCGGCGAAGTTACCTTACTCAGGCAGGACTCCTGGCAGAAGGCATCCATAGAAAGAGCCCTTACGAGTCAAAAAGGAGTCCTGGCAGAACGTTTCAGAAAGGAGTCCTTGCTGTAAGAGGGTCCGTACTGAAGGGCTCCTTACTACAAGCATCCCAAATAAAAAGGCCTCACTAAAACCATCCGTAACCAAGATAACTTAATTCGCCGGCTCAACGGGCCAGAGGCGTGCTAAGATCTCCGGCAAATGCTTTACAATAGTTTTACTTCACGCGCGCGGGGCGGCCCCGGGGGGTCCCCAGACGAAAAGTACCCCGGCCAGGTCGCCGACCAGGTCCCTGCCGGTTCGGATCAGAAGGTATTTCTCCTTTCAGGCTTTCCAGACCGCTCTTAGAGGGCCCCAACAAGCCCTGACGACGGTCCAAGAGGGCTCCGAGTCCTCGAACGATCGGCCCAAGACGCTTCAGGTGGCCTCCAAATTGCCACAGACGCCTAGAAGCCGCCCCAAGAGGCCACCAAGACACCTCCCAAGAGAGCCCCCAGGAGGCAGAAAGAAGTGGATGTCCTGTTTTTGTTCGAAGAAAGATTTTGGCGTTCTCGCCTTTTCGGCTTACCCGCGCTCCAAGCAGTCCAAGAGGCCCCAAGATCGCCCCAACACGACCCAAACGGCATCCAAGAGAACCCCAAAACCGCCCCAGAGGGCCCCAAGACAGCCCAAGAGGCAGACGGCCCAATAGGTTCCCAAGACGGCTCCAAGAGTGGGCCCTGACAGGGACCCGAACAGGCATTTCGAGCTCTCGGCCCCGAGAGCCCACCAGGACGCCCTAAGAAACTCCAAACTGGCCCACAAGAGGCCCCGAGAGGCCCCCGCGAGTCCCCCAAGAGGCCCCAGGATGCCCCAAGAATACCGCGAAGACGCCTCCGAGAGACCTCCCAAGAGAAACCAAGCAGCCTCCCAAAGAGGTGTCTTCTCCACGACCAAGTGTGGCCCCAACATGGCCCAAGAAGCCATCGAGAGGCCTCCTCCTCCTCCTCATCCTCATCCTCCCCTTTTCCACCTCCTCCTCCTCCACCTCCTCCTCCTCCTCCTCCTTCGCTCGCCACGGCCACACCCGAGTATAGCACCAATGGTACAATGTGGGTCAGCGGGATGAGCGAAGCGATTCAATCAAGATATCCTTACTCAGGATCCCGCACGCCTCTTGAGGAGCCATGACTGAAGTACATAGTAGTACCGAGAGGGCACTTACTAAAAGGACTCCTCCCTGAGGAGGCCTTGCTGAAACCAGTATGACTAAGGATCCCTTGCAAACGGCGTTGGTCCCAAGGGGCCTTACTAAAGGAAGCATGTGCAAAGCGGGCATACTACAGAGACCCTTACTGAAGGATCCTGACTGAAGGCATTCCAACTAGGGACTCCTCAACGCAGGGATCCTTAGTACGGATCCCTCATTACAGAGGCCCGAATGCTTACTACAAACAACCGCATCAAGGATCTCCCACTTAAGAAACACTTCAGACGCATCCCTAGGTAAAACACCAATTACCCCAGTGCGACCCTGCCTAGAAGTTGGAGCCCCTAGGAAAGCAGCATTACTTGCTATGCTATGCTATGCTATGCCATGCTATGCTGCGCTATGCTATACCATGCTATGATATACTATGCTGCGCTATGATATGATATGCTATGTTATGCTATGATATGCTATGCTATGTCATGATGCGCTGTGCTATGCTAAGCTATACTATGCTATGACATGCTAAGCTGCACTATGCTGTAATATGCTATACCATGCTATGCTGCGCTATGTTATGCTGCGCTATGATATGCTATGCTGCGCTGTGCTATGCTATGCTATGCTATGCTATGTCATGCTGCGCTGTGCTATGCTAAGCTATGTTATGCTATGCTATGCTAAGCTGCACTATGCTGTGATATGCTATGCTATGCTATGCTATGTTATGCTGCGCTATGCTGTGCTATGCTGGGCTTTGCCATGATATGCTGTGCTGCGTTGTGCTGTGCTACGCTCTGCTATGCTATGCTGTGCTCTGCTATGCTAGCTCGGCGAAGCTAAGATGAAGGTAAGCTGAGCCAAGATAAACCTGAGCTAAGATGAAGCTAAGCTAAGGTAATATGAACTAAGCTAAACTAAGATGAGATAAACAACGCGAAGCTAAAGGACCGTCACTGGGGGAACCGCGGGGAGGATGCCGGGGGAACCGCCCGGGGCGTGCCCCACTGCCCGGCCCTTTAAGTAAACAGAGTAAGACCCCTTCTAGGCAGAGCCTAGGTAAAGAAAACGAGCAATTCTGCGAATGAAGCATTACGGAATAAACTCACAATAAGCATATGTCACTAAATGAACTCTCACTAAGGACCCCTGCGAGTTTAGCAAAAGGTGGTTCGACCATTGAACCAAAGAGCCAACCAAGACTGCGGGGAAACACGCCATCAACGTGTCATAGGCACCGCGGCGCAGGGGCAGCCATGTCCGTTTGAAAGCCACACGTCGCACGAGAGGTATCAGAAACATAAACGGGAGGCAATCCACCTGAGAGTGGCCCTTTGTTGTGACTGCAATCGCAGAACCAATCGCACCAAAACACTCGGCACTCGTTCCTGTCCGTGGAACGGTGCCAGCAGGCAAGCCACGGACACCCCCTGACGGGCACGCCCACGGGCTGCCGAAACGACCGTGCATGCCACCAAGAAGCATGTCTTGTGGAGGGAAGGGGGGGGGGGCTTGGCGATGACTGGAGCGAGGTGTTGTACAGTTTTCGGCTTGACCTAAGGAACGAGAAATAAGGAACGAAGCCCCTTTTTGAGTCTACGAAGCCCGAAGGAACACCAGGGGGGCTCGCCGCCAAAAAGGTAGCAAAACGCATGCAAAACAAAGAAACGACCGAACCCCTTTTGAGAAATAAGTGTTCCTTATTCAAGCCGGACCCTGTATGCGATATGGGGGTTGCTTAGACCACTCCACTCAAGTAAGCCGTACATCATGGGCAGATCCCTCTCGGCCATCAGATGCGTCATCTGCAAACGACACGTCGTCACCTACCACAACAATGTTGAATTTGAAAGTTTGGTACGGCCCCTCCCCTCCCCTCCCCAGCAGACCTGAGCACCTCCCAGAACGGCGTTTGGAAGCCCACTTGATGCTGACCCGAGCGAGAATGCTGGAAGCGCATCTGAATGTGCAATCCCGGGGCAGATGTCAAATAATAGTTGTTTGTTGATACTTCTCTCTTTCTCTCGCGTTCTCTCTTTCTCCTAACCAGCCTCGAACTGATGCCTACCCGTAAGACTGGGAATCTGAAAGGCAATGACAATCTTAGGAATGCGCCGTCAGACACAGAGGGAATCCTCAAACTCGGTGTCGAGATGAGGTGGTGCCAATCATACGGATCGGGACATGTTCTTGGCTGGTAATCTGCTCTGTCTCACCCTCTCTCCCACCTCACTTTTTCTGCCCTCTCTGCCACTCCCGGCTCCTCTACCCCTCAGGCCCCATGCTCTCTCAGTCGCCCTCTCCCCCCGCTGACACTCAAGCAGCCCAGGCCTTCATGCAGTCCCAATGACCCTCCTCCCAACCCGACACACGCTGCCAGCCCGAACTCGAGTGTGAGGGGCAACGATAGGGGGTATAGGCGTAGGGGGGGAATGCATCGACCTGTAATCGACGATACATCGTCGATAGATCGGCGATAGGCCCCCGATAATGAATCCGCACCTTCCTGGGCGGGGCGGGGCTACCGGGTCCCTAATCGGCGAACAATGGGCGATTGGGGGTCGATGCATCTCCCCTATGCCTATCCCCCCTATCGTTGCCCCTGAGATTGTGATGAAAGCCGCACAGGCTGGGTCAGACAAAGGACGCATTTCACAGACCTGGACGCAACACTGCGACCATCATGCACTACCCATTAGCGAACCACGGATGTCGCTATCAAGTTTCCTGACCCGGGCACGCTAGGGTGTGATCTACGAGACCACTTCGTATACTTTGACTGCTAAACTGTACGCTGTAATGAAGTCTAGATTCAGAACTGCCCCCTTGACCGCATACACAAAACGCACTCACTAAGTGCAATCTATATATACACACATATAGAGCCCGTGCGGATGACGCCAGAAAGAAGGCGTTGTGCCAACGTCATTCAAAACTGGGGCCCGCCGCGGCTTGTCGCGTTACTTTCTCTGACCTAAGAGGGCCTCAAGACGGCCCAGGGGGCTCCAAGAGGCCGTCCAAACGGTCCGAGAGGGCCTCGAATCGCCGCATGACCGATGCAAGATACCCAAGGTGCCCCCGAGACGGCCCAAGAAACCTTCGAGGCGCCCCAAGAGAGCCCAAAGAGATTTCCCAAGAGGTCCCAAATCCCAAATAGTTGGTTGTCCCGAACCTGTGTTCGATGTGTTGGGGGTCCTCGACGTTTCGAGCTTCCGACGCTCCAAGGCAGCCCAAGAAACCCCCAAGATCACCCCAGGGCGGCCTAAGAGACCCCCAAGACCACCCCCAGGAGGCCCAAGAGGGCTCCAAGACAGCCCCAGAGGCGCCCAAGACAGCCCAAAGACAGCCCCTAGAAGGGCCCAAGAGGGGGAGCACGAATCGAGAATCCGAGTCCTCTGTCCCAAGAGGGCCTCAGGATGCCCCCAGGAGGCCCCAAGGAGGCCCCAAGAGGTCCCCCAAGAGACCCCAAGGAGGCCTCAAGAGACCCCAAAGAGGCCCGCAAGGCGCCCCACAACGGCCCCCAAGAGGCCTCAAATCGGCCCCCAAGGGGCCCCCGAGAGGCCTCCAACGAAATCCCAACGAACATCCTAGAGGCCCATGAGCCGCAACCCAGGCACGGCGGCGGGATGGGCCGAAAGGCTATTACATAGTGACGCTGGAACAAGACAGTCCTTCAACGTCGTTCGAAATCGCCTGGCCCTATTTAGAGCCTGCACCTCAAGAGGAATACGCGTCTTCACAACGTGTTTTCGAACTTGCATGCCTGGGTGTCGCTGCAGCGTCTCTAAGCCACAACGACCATAGACGATTGCTTCAGTGTTTGGCAAATGCCAGGGGCCATCGTTCCTGCACGCATGGCTGCGTGCAGCTTGCGACAGCTACTCTGCTCCAGGGGATATCCACCAATGCGTTGATCGCAGACCCTGCAGCTAGTCTACTCGATACAACATTGTCTGCACCCCCGCCCCACCTGCTTCGACCATGCCTAAATCCTCCCTAGGCGGCTGAAAGCCGAAGCAATGCCGAGAGGAGGGCCTGCTCTTTCTTCAAAGTCGCCATCATATCGTCGACCAACGCAATTACCTTTTCGAACCCCGCTGTCTTTCCCTGTCGGGCAGACGATGGAAAGCATAGGGTGGGCGAGTGAAGGAGAATGCAGCAGCAGCAAAGCAACAGGCCGAGGATAAGAGGAGAAAGAAGACAGCACCAAAACAACAGGACTGGGCAACACACCAACCAACACCAAAGCGATGAGAACAGACCAACCAGACGAGGTAATCGAGGGCCGCCGTAGAGACAACGACATCGGCGCGTGGCGCTACCCACCGCCAGCATATCACGTCACCACGAGGGAATGCTCATCTCTGATGTGCGAACCACCTGATGCAAACATGCATATGCGTAGAAGAGCATGTGTCCCTACGCCACAACCTTGTCGTCATGGTTCAGGATGCGTCCCATTGATTTGATATACAAGCTGTTTAAAAGTGGCTCGTGATCCTCTTCTGATGCGGTGATGGACGGTGGTGGCTGGCGACTCCCAACGCATAAACGTATGGGAAATGAAGATCCGTCAGCGTTGACTCTCTTCTATCTTGTACCCGCCTTCGTGCACCCTGCGCGTTGGAGTGTGTTCGAATGTACGAAAAATCCCGGTTGGTGATCTGGCAGGGTGGTTACTTTGGGGGGGACTCCCTCGAGGATTCCAACACCCCTGTACGGCTACGAGTTGCTCCAAGACCAGCTCAACACGGCCCAACGACCCCCAACAAGCCCCACGACGCCTCCAAGAGGTCTCAAGAGGACCAGAGGGTGCGCCCAGGGAGGCGCTCGCCTTGGGCCTGGGAGGCCGAAGATGCACGTCCGTGCAGTCAAGTTTCGATCACGCTCAGCTTTGGATGCGAAATCCAGCTAGACACCCTGCAGACCGCGATACTACCTTCAACTGGACCCCGAGAGCCCCCTCAGATGAATGCCACGACTCCTGCAGGACACCTTCGAGAAGGAGATGGAGGAAGAGAAGGGGAACGAAGGAGGGGAGGAACAGAAGAGAAGGGAAGAAGAGGAAGAGGAAGAGCAGGGGAGAAGAGAAGTGGAGGACGAGGAAGAGAAGGGGAACGAAGGAGAGGGAGGAAGAGGAGAGAAGCAAGGAGGAAAACGAGGAGGACGAGAAGGGGACCGAAGCCGAGAGCTGAGAGGAGGTGACCGAACTTCGCACCCGTCCAGGCAGGGCCTCAGCTGGAGCGGGTATATCAAGCCCCTCCCCCTGCTGCGCTGCTGCGATTGCACCTTCGGCGGGGCCTGCCGCAGGGAATTTGATATAAGTCCACGCTCATAGGAGGAAAACTCAATCTTTTAGACGCCCACAATGGGTACGGACAAAATGGGTACAATGCCCAACAACAAATGTTGTCCCAAACCAACAGCGGCCGCTGTTGGGCAGGCGGCCTTCTGTCTCGAATGGACACAGGCCCTCCCCCTGGTTGGGCGCCCGAGTTATCCGGGGTAACTCGGGTCCGGGGTAACTCGGGTTCGGATTCCGAAAAAAAACGAACCCGAGCTAGCCCCGACTCTGATGATTTGGGGCTCTGGGCGCCCGAGTGACCCGGGGTAGCTCGGGTTCGGATTCCCGAAAAACGAGCCCGAATTCGCCGCTAATTCGGGTTTGTTACCCCTGATGCTTCGGGGCTCTGACCTGCTGCGCTGCTGCTGCGCTGCTGTTGCGCTGCTGCGGGGCCAGTGGCAGGCAGTTTGATATCAGTCCACGCCCGTTGGAGCAAAACTCAATGACACCAGAGAAAACCCAATCAATGGATGATTTGAAAATGGATCGATAAAGAGATCAATAAGGAGATCGACCGGGAACCCAGGAATTCGGAACCAATGACCAAGAACCCAGGAACCCAGCCGGCCAAATCTTTCAACTTCCGCTAGGACCCCGTTAGTACCAACACTAGTTGGGGAATCTTTGGGGAAACCACAAAATAACGGTACCGCTACTCCCTGGACCTCTCTCTCAGTGCGATCTGACCAAGACTTCGAGGCGAATCCGGCAGTGATGACACCGAGGCCTCCCAGCAGGTCTGCAAATGCAAAAAGCGAGGAAGGGCAGCGGTATCGGTGCTGGCTCCTTTCCTGAAGCATGGTTTTCGTAGGGTGCCAAGAGCTGCCTGCGAGCCCAAGGGGGAATTGACAGGGGGCAGCCCTTCCCAGACCGCGGCGTGGCTTCTCGGAAGCCGCTTCGCCCTGCGGAGAAGGTTCGGAGAGCTTCTCGGAAGGCGCGAGGGCTTCTGAGAAGCCCCGCCGCCTTCTGAGGGGGCCTACCCCTCAGAGATGCTCGGCATTTGTTTTCGGGTCGCAACTCGGGCCTTCGGCGGCCGCTCGGGACGATACGAGTACCCCCAGAACGCTCTCGGCGAGGCGCAGCTGTTGGAAGGCACCCCGCGACTGAAGACCGCTGAGAAGCGGCCACAGCGCCCGAAAACGTCGGCCCTCGCACCCGAAACTCCCGAACTCATCCCCGGGCTCGCCGCCGAAAGAGGCTGTCCCCACCGTCCTCGCCTGGATGGCCAGCATCACGAGGTTGAGCCGAGGGCTCCCACTGGGCTCGGCGCGCAGCGCGTCGAGCGCGCGCCTGCGCACGTCCCGCGCGCTCTCCTGGCGCCATACACGACGGGCTCGGGCGCGAGCCGACGGCCACTATGCCGCAAAAATGCACGCTGAACAAGAACGCCTCCTCCTCCTCCTCCCCCTCCTCCTCCTCCTGCTCCCCCTCCTGCTCCTCCTCCTTCTCTTCCTCCTGCTCCTCCTCCTGCTCTTGCTCCTGCTCATGCTGCTCCTCCTCCTCCTCCTCCTCCTCCTCCTCCTCCTCCTCCTCCTCCTCCTCCTCCTCCTGCTCCTCCCCCTCCTCCTCCTCCTCCTCCTGCTCCTCGTCCTAGCGAAAAGGGTCGGCAGCACCTGCCGTAAAGGCCTCGTCGACAAGGGGCGATGGCGCTGTCCCAGGAACGCTGGGCACGGTGAGCCTCGGCCACGAATGGGTTCCCCGACTCGGACCTGCGGGACGGCCCAGAAAACTCACGTGTTGGGAGCGAGAGGGGATCGAAGCGAATGTACTTCCATGCTCTCGACCGTGGTGCGCATGGCGGCGCCGCCATAAAACAACCTCTGTGACGGGGGATCGGGTCACATGGTAAGCATCCCCTGCTGCGCGCTTGCCCGCGCCACGTATGCACTACTAAGCAGGTCTGCGGGACGGCCCGAAAACTCTGGGCCCTCCGCAGCCCAGAGCGGTCCTCGCTTCAGCGCCTTGGCCGCCTAGCACCACAGCGCAGAGGGCAGTCGGCACAAGCTCGGATCGGGGCGCATCGGGAACGTCCGAGACCCGGTGGCTCCGAGGGTTGCCTCGGGCGCCACGGCACTCCTGGAGCTTTTTCCGGAGTGCTCCGGGGGCGCTCAGGGATTTCTCTGGGGAGGCTCGCGCCGATCCCGGACCCGATTTTGCATCGCCTGGACAGTCTCCCCCGATCTCTCGGCACGTGTGCAGATCGCATCGACCACAACAGGCGTCTGGCCTTGCGGGGGGGGGGGCAGCGGATGTGTCTGCGGCCGTCGCCCCAGCGTACAACAAGGTTTCCGTAATTACCGCGCTGCAGTTGTGACTACCTACCAGACCACCCCAACCCAACCCGAAGACGCGAATTTCGGGTTGGGGGGGGTGGGGGTTCCATGTGTGTTTTTCCAATGTTCCCAGACCCCCCCCCACTGGAAATCGAGGGTAAATCTGAGCCTTCGGGTTGGGTTGGGGTGGTTTGGTGGGTGGTGAAAATGATGATTTGAGACGGGTCATTCGCTCATCTCCAAACCCAGGCTGTTGTCCCATGAAGTCCGAATCATAAGGATCCGCGGTAAGGATGCAAGGGCCTTGGGGGGCAGTGTTCGCGCTTTTCGGACGAGGGTGGTCAGCGAGAGTCGCTAACGATGGACCGGAGGGGCAAGGATGCAAGAGTACCCTTAGGAAGGTTGCCCATCCTTCCTATGCGGGTTGACTGTACAAAAACAAACTCGATCACGGCAGTGGTGCTGCCTCGATGCTTTCCCTTCTCCACTAGGCGGGTGGCGTCCCAGCGGGGCAGAGCCAAGCGGGTAGAAGAGAACCAGTCCAGGAGAAGCGCCGCAGGTGTCCACGATGCCCACGAAGCGCTCAGATTCGCCCCCCGCCAGGGCCGAGTATCCCAACCGGCATGCGCGCGGGCACACTTTCTCGTCTCGACGCTGGTCGCAGGGGTGAGGGCGGGGGAAACGCTTTGCGTCGGCAGCCAGGCAGAGTAACTGCGCTGGCGGAGGAGCCAACTAAACAGGGGCGCTGTTGTAACTAGCGTTAGGTCGGACCTGTCCCCGTACAGGGGGGATGTTGTACGATTCCTTGCAATATCCCAAAAATGCTCCAAAGTAGTCCAACTATCGTCCCCAGATTTTTGTTGTGACTATCTTTGAACATTCTTCCTGTAGGGGGACAGGCCCGACACGAAACCGGCGAACCGTGCCGCGGCGCAGGGAGCACGGAGCGAGGAGGCGAAGGCGGCCGAGGAGGGCGGGGGAACGCGAGAGCCTGGAGGCCATAGCTGGGGCCCCCGCCCTGGCTGGGATCGGCGCGCCCCTTCGAACCGCCGACCAAGGCATCCCGAGGAGGAGGAGGAGGAGGAGAGGAGGAGGGAGGGAGGGAGGAGGAGGAAGACCACTATGCCAGAGACCAGCACGACGAGGAGGAGAAGGAGGAGGAGTTGTATGTCCATCGGCCCATTACTCCGACCAGCGCTCGCGTGAAGCCGCGCGCAGACGCCGCGGCTTGACGTGACGACGCCCTGGCTTGCCAGACGCCGCGCGCAGCGGCGAGCCTGCACCGCCGAAGCTGAGCACGGGCGCTCGCGCGAGCGCTTCGGCGCCCTGGGCCCAGTCAGCCCGAGTCGAGGAGGAGAGCGTCATCTGGGGGGTGGATCGGCCCGTGGGGGTGGATCGCATCGAGCCGAAACCAGCGCCCCCGATGTGTAAACGCCCGCGGTCCTGGGCGGGGTCGGCTGCCTGGCCCCCTCGGCGATGCATGGGCGACTGGGGGTCGATGCGTTCCCCCCTGGACAAATCTCCCCTCACGTTGCCCATGCTCCAGCAGTGGCGATTGCAAATGAAGGCTTCGGCGTCTGTATGTCCACGATCCCGAAACAGCAGCCCAGGGTTGAGCCCCAGAAGAGAAGCGGAGCAGAAGGCGAAACGAACAGGCATCCATAAGAGCAGGCAAACAATGTTTTGAGAACCTCTCGCGAAAAGTAAACACACCATAGCTGGGGGGCATCGAATCATGCTCACCTTTGCGCTCGACTGAATACGCATTCCGTATATGTCCGTGCCCGCGCCAAGCTGTCCTTGACCTGCAGGAAACTCACCGAAGTCGAAGGCAAAGTCTTCTTAAACAGCTCCTCCGCACCAACCCACGCTCCCCATGCCGCGTCCCGTTGGGCTACTCCGACCGGTGGCAAGATCCGCCGAGCAAGGGGGGGAGGAGGAAGAGCGGGGAGAAAGAGCACAGGAGAGGGCGCCGGGAAGTGGGAGGCAGGGGGGGAGATGTGCGGGAGGGGAGGGTGGGAGGCAACGGCGGGCAGCAGTGCCAGTGCGATCGAATCTGTGAAAGGGGGCAGAGGTTGCCCAATCAAACAACTACTAGTGATCATGGAGGTTGGTTGCCCAAACTATCGGGGGAAGGCGTGATGGGCGAAAACGTAGCCGTTCCGCCGTGCGCAGTGTCCGAATACAAAGGCTCAAGACTGCGCAGGCTCAGCATGAGCCATGCACCGCAGTGGGTTTGAAAATGGCCAGGAGGGCTTAGGATGGCCTCGGGACGGGCCAGGAGGGCCTGATGAGTGGCGCACGAGGATCCCTGGAATGCCTCACAGGCACCCGAAATCCGCCGACTCCTTGTGGTCACGGCGTGTGAGATGCTTCCCCCTCCCCAAACCCCTCCCCCGGGGGCCTGGTCAAACCGGTTTGGAGCAAGGGAGGGGGGGGCAAATCCATCATCCGCACACTTGGAGCCTCAGGAGGCCCCAAAACGGGCCAACAAGGTTCCAAAGGTTCCCGGAACGGTCCGAGAGAGCTACGACTCGACGAAAGGTCGCCCCAAAACGCCGAAGATTGCCTCCACACGGCTCCAGAAGTTTCCAAGACGTTTGAAACAAGATTACGAGGCGCCCCAAAGAGGCCCTCCAGAAGCAAAAATCGTCCCATTCCCTGGAAAAACTACCATTTTCACCACATTCGCCCATTCGGCTTCCACGCGGCGCAAAACCAAGAAACCTCCAAGATCGACCCTCGCCAGCCCGAGAGGCTCCCCAAAAGGCTCCAATACAGCTCCCGGGCGGTCCACGAAGGCCCCAGAAACCAGAGCAACTGCCCAAGAAAACCGCAGGACGGTCCCAACAGGGCTCCAAAAAGGGGCAAGAAGGCCCCCAAAGGCGGTCCGGACGGCCCATGCGGGGGACAACTTGGTCCAAACCGCCCAAGATCGCCGCCAGACGGCCCCATGGGCGGGCGTCCAAGACGTGTGAAAACGCGACCACGAGGCGCTCCAACAAGGCCTCCACAAACAAAAACCGCTCCATTCCCCAGGTAAAACGTACATGTTCAACACATTCACTTCTTGGGCTTCCACGAGGCCCACGACGGCCCAGTCAACCTCCAAGATCGACCGCTGTCACCCGAAGGGGTCTCAAAAAGGCTCCAAGACGGCTTCTGGGCGGTCCACGAAGGCTCCTGAAACCACAGCAACGGCCCAAAAAAACCGCAGGACGGTCCCAACAGGGCTCCGAAACGGGGCAAGAGGGCCCTTAAAGGCGGTCCGGACGCCCCACGCGGGGGACGATTCGGTCCAAACCGCCCAAGATCGCGGCCAGACGGCCCCATGGGCGGGCGTCCAAGACGTTTGAAAACTCGACCACGAGGCGCTCCAACAAGGCCTCCACAAGCAAAAGCCGTCCCATTCCCCAGGTAAGACGTACATTTTCAGCACATTCGCTTCTTGGGCTTCCACGAGGCCCACAACGGCCCAGTAAACCTCCAAGATCGAGCTCTGGCACCCCAAAACACTCTCCGAAAAGCTCCACGACGGCCTCCGGGCGCCTCACGAAGGCACCAGAAACCATAGCAACGGCCCGGGAGAACGGCAGGACGGTCCTAAGAGGGCTCCAGAACGTGTCTAGAGGGGCCTCACAGGCTGCCCGGACAGGCCACGCGAGGGACGATTGCTGCCGCCCCAAGGGGTCGGCGGTGTGGCGTAAGCCCATGAATCCACGTCTGGAGGCGACGTGCTGAGCGGCAGCGTTTTCTGCGGAGGCGATAATGCAACGTACCTATGTATCCAATTATTGCATAATTGCCACATATTGCATTGTGTTACATTATCATGTCTCCCCCCTAACCACCCCTGGGAGCTGCGCCACAGGAACGGACCAAAGTGGCCCCCCCCTTCCCGGGGCTCAGAAACCTACCAAAACCTAAACTTCTTGGGCCTCTCGGGGGGCCAAGGGGGCGCCAAGACGGCTCAAGATTGGTTTTGCGCGGGCCAAGACGGCCCCCAAAAGGGCCCTAAAAAACCCAAATGACGGCCCAAGAGGGGCCCAAGAGCGCCCACAACTGCGCCTCCAGAAGCCGAAATCATTGATTTCCCTTTGGTTTGGTGATATTTAGCGTTCTCGCCTTTGCGGCCCAAACAGCTTCCCAAATCGCTCCAGAGCAACCCAAGAAGCCCCCAAGGGGGCCCCTAATACGGCCCAACTGAACCCCAAGACGGCCCAAAGAGGCCCCCAAGACGGTCCAAGAGGCCCCCTATGACGGCCCAAGAGGACCCCAAGACAGCCCCAAGGCGGCCGCGAGAGGCCCCCAAGACGGCCTCCGAAGGGGCGAAACGGCGCAAAAGCGCCCCAATACGGCCAAAGACGCCCCCAAGAGGCCCCAAGAGGCCCTCAAGAGGCCCCCAAGGGCCCCCAAAAAGCCCCCAAGAGGCCTCCAAGATGTCCTCAAGAAGCCTCCCAAAGGCTCCAAGGAAGCCCCCCAAAGGCCACACAGCGACTGGAGTGCAATGCCATTTTTCCAACCTGGGCGAACTGCGGCGCAGCGCCAGCCAGGTGGAAGTTGGTCACAGCGGCGCCCATGATTAGAGCCGGCGCTGGAAGGAAATATGGGGAGGGAGTATGAAAAGGAGGGAGGGGGGAGAGGCCCCCAAAGAAGTCCCCAAGAGGCCAAAGGAAGCTCCCAGGAGGCCTCCAGAAGGCCCCCAAAAGGCTCCCAAGAGGCTCCGCGACGACGTGACTGTACGTGCTCTGGACGTGCACCCCGCGAAGCGAAAGGAATCACCCTCGGAGAACGCCCAGAGGACCCCAACAGGCCTCTAGGATGCTCCGTGAAGCCGCCCATGAGGACACACACTGGCGATCCCCCCCCCCCACCCCCACCCCAAAAGGAGGCACACACTGGCGATCCCCCCCCCAAGAGGACACACACGCACACTCTGGCGATTCCCCCCCCCCTCTCCCTCACGAGAGCCCCAACTGTTTGCGGTCCTCGTTGTTCAGTCGGTTCGGGTTGATCTGGCTGGGACCGACTCTGAGGAGATGCTCCGTCACCAATTTATCCAACACGCACCCTACCGCACGGGGCTTCTGGGTGATACGGCCGGCGAATTCTCGTCGCAGATCCCACCAGCCCTCCGGGCGTAGGTGAATAGGGAGCTCGTACTTCCAACCTCCTCTTCCAGGGGGAACGCTGTGGGGGACTGTCTCAGGGGGGGAGGCAACGACCTGACAGCGGCAATACGTCGCCGATAGATCGGCACCAGGCCCCGGGAAACAAAACCACACGTTCCAAGGGCGGCAAAGAACCGCGCAACAGAAAGAGAAACGTGTTGTGCTACTCGGCCTTAGATACACCAACACATCGTCGCGCGCACGCACGACTTGGACCTAAATTCGCCTCGCCCGCACGCACACACGACACGAACGAAAACAGAACCCGATTTTCCTGTGCGGGTGACTTCCAGTCCTGCGATGCACCTGACTGATACTACAGGTAACGATAAAAGTAAGCTCAACCACTTCACGGGCTGGGTCAGGAGCATCGCGGCGCCCACAAGTGGACGAGCACGCTCCCAGGCACAACTGTCCGCCCAGCCGATTGTTGGTACCCCGGAGACCCAGTTCGTCTCATCTGTGCTTCCCCGATGCACCTCCGCCTGCCTTCGGGCGACAACTCGCCCAGAAAGTCGCTGGTGGTCGGGCGGGCGAATGCTTGCGAAACATCGGGAGCATCTCGGTCCGGGAGCACCGTGCTGCCACCGAGCAGGACGGCCGCTTGGCCGCGCTGCCCCTGCTCTCCAGAAGCCGAAAGGGGGGAAAGGCAGGAGGGAGGGCAAGGCCAAGGGGAGTGAGAGGGCACAGACACGGGAGCAGGAGGAGGGATGGGGGGCTGAAGGATGATAGAGGAGGATAGACAGCGCCCTAGAAGGTCGGGAGACCAGAAGCGCGAGGGGGATCGACCCGAGCCAAGTCACCCCTGACGCCCTTGCCTCCTCTTCAGCACTAATCATGGCGGCCAGGGCCGCCACTCTCTGCTCAAGGGCGGGGGCCGCTGGAACATGCGAGGAGGAGGGGGGGCCGGGAGAAAGGAGAACGGGCTGCACACCACCTGCCGAGAACTCCGGGGGCGGGGCCGACCGCCTGACCACAACCGTGGAGCCGCGAGGCAAGCCGTGCCCGGGCACGGCTGCGCGATTGTAGAGGTCGACGGCGCGCTGGGGGGAGGGGGGAGGGGCAGAGGGGGAGAGCCTCCCGAGGAGCTCACTGAGCCTACCCGAAGCCACCGACGGCTTTTCCGAAGCCCGCGGAGCTTCTGGAAAGCTCCCGAGAAACCTACGAACGTCCCCGCAACGCCCCCGCCCTCGTCTGTTCCCCACTCGGCGCGCCGCCGCAAAGGACTGGGGGGTACTGGGATGGGTGCCATGTCCTCGTATGGCTCCTCCTCCTCCTCCTCCTCCTCCTCCTCCTCCTCCTCCTCCTCCTCCTCCTCCTCATCATCATCATCATCATCATCATCATCAGCATCAGCATCAGCATCAGCATCAGCATCAGCATCATCAGCAGCATCAGCATCAGCATCAGCATCAGCATCAGCATCAGCATCAACATCATCATCATCATCATCAGCAGCATCAGCATCAGCATCAGCATCATCACCATCATCATCATCATCATCAGCATCATCATCATCATCATCATCATCATCATCATCGTCATCATCATCAACATCATCATCATCATCCATCATCGTCTTCGTCTTCATCATCATCATCATCATCATCATCATCATCATCATCATCATCATCATCATCATCATCATCATCATCCATCATCGTCACCGTCATCATCATCAG